TGGTAAACTGTGGTCAATGACATGAGACAAAGTATATGTGAACTGCTGTATGGAAAGTGAATTTGCTCTGTAAATCTTCACCCAAATCACAATAAATAATAAACAAATAAATAAATAAATAATAAAAACATGTCCCAAAAATGGAGCTATCCAAGTTGTAGGACAACAGGTAGTTTTTCTATTTCTATATTCTAAAAACATTGGAAGATGAATCCATTCTACTTTTACATGAGAAAAACTTTATTAAAATAAAAAAACACAATTAAGTCCACAAATTTCTTTCTGTTCTATAAATTTTATACATTGCCACAGAGATGTTGCCATTTAGCAACATCAAAGAATGGTATGTTTTACTTAATTTATTATTCTACTTGGCTGGAAACCACCACATGTGTCAATCTTCAAAGCATCAGAATACAAGAAAATGCCAAAATTACCCATAACTTAACTGGTCTTTTTGGATGAATCAAAATCTCTCACCCTTGAGGTACTACTGTTGAAGCATGATAAACAGCTGGAGATACACCACTTTACTAGAAACTAGTGATTTCCTACCTGGGGGAGAATCTAAAAAGTCTTAACATATGGATTCTTAGATTATTTTAAATAGCTCAAAACATCTAGTAAATAAACTGCACATTTATTCGTAGTAAAACTACTCAGGTGAATAACCAGTAACAAGTGTCTTTATTTTAGACTAGAATTGTATTAATACATGTTGCTCAAAAACTAGGAATGAGGTTACCAGTCCTGCTACTCAATACAGTTGTTTGACAGACAACATCTATCAAAATATGAGGGCTACTAAAGAAAGATATTTTTTAAAAGGTGTTGCCCTTGGTTGTAAAAAGGGAGAATCTACTCTTAAAAATATACATGTTCATATTTGGATTCCAGGGACCTAAGAATAGGCTCTGTTTGCCAAGGACAGCAGGGACATACGGGAGGCTGACAACAGGAAAGGAGACAGGTGGCGAGTGTTACAAGTGCTGCCAACTACTGAATAGACTAGCACAGTACCCTGTTTACTTAGATAAAATCCAAAGAAAACAAAAATTGTGGGCAAGTCACTTCAACATACAATCACCAATTAAATATAAACACAAAAATGTCATAATACCTCAGAAATAACAGAGCATCACAGTGCACATAACGAAGCAAGATAAAGCAGAAGAACAAAGGGAGCAGGATACAGACCCAAAACACATCCCTGAGGAAGATGCAGCATTGGAACTCCCTGATAAAGAATTCAAAAGAATTATATTTAAGTACCTTCAACGAATTGAGAGACAGATCAAGGAAAACACTGAAAAAACTAAGGAAAACAAAGAAAACCCTACAACAATTTTGAAAGACAATATAAGAACAAAATGACAAAATAAATGAAAAATTAGAAATGATACAAAATCTACAGACAGAAATCCAGAAGATTAATACTAAATTTTCAGAAATAGATAACACATTGAACGAGCAAAGGAGTAGAATTAAACCAATGGAAGACAGAGTTAGTGAGATTGAAGGCAAATACATCAATACTTCTTTAGAAAGCGATCAATCAGAAAAAAGATCAAAACAAAATGAAGAAAGCCTAAGGTTCATGTGGGATACCCTCAAAAGGAATAACCTATGTGTAATCAGAATTCCAGAACAGGAAGAGACAAATAAAACCATAGAAAAAATTGTGGAAGATTTCTTGGAAAAGAATTTTCCTGATATGATGAAAAATGAGAATATATCCTATCAAGAAGTCCAACGAACCCCAAACAGGATGGACCTCAAAAGAAAATCACCAAGACATATCATCAAACTCACCAAAACCAAAGACAAAGAATCCTGAAAGCAGCACGGGAAAAATGAAAAGTTACCTACAAGGGGCAACCAATAAGACTAAGTGCAGATTTCTCAGCAGAAACCAGCAGGCAAGAAGACAATGGGATGGTATATATAAAACCCTGAAAGAGAAAAATTTCCAACCAAGAATTATGTACCCAGCAAAATGTCCCTCAAATGATGATGAAATTAGGACATTTCCAAATAAGCAGAAATTAAGGGAATTTGTTAAAACCAGACCAACCTTACAAGAAATGCTAAAGGGAGTCCTTTGGACAGAGAACCAACAACAGCAAACAACAACGGACCATTAACACACATGGTGACATAACCCAGAAACCAACCCAGCCATGGAAGTATCCAAAGTAAATAAACCTACAAGATTGTAAACAGGAAACCAAATACATCAATTGACAAATGAGGACAACTACAAACCAAAAAGAGGAAAAAAATTGTGTAGTTACAGAACTTCTAAATGGTAGGGAAGTAAATACAACTACAAGATAGAACGGACTGTTCTAAATGTGGGAAGAAAACTATAAATCACAGGGTAACCCTCAAAGAAAAACAATAAACTTTCACATCAAAATAAAAAAAAGGACCAGCACAAATATGTAGCAGATACTAAAACAACAGCAATGAAGGACATGATAGCTTGATTCATAAATAAAATGAGCTCAGCACAGAAAATTATATGGAACAAAGAAATCAACACCATGAAAAAGTACATAACAAAAATGACAGCAACAGTTTCTTACTTGTAGATAATTACATATCTGGCAAAGGACTTATCTCTAAGATTTATAGTAAACTCCAACACCTCAACAGCAAAGGAATTAACAATTCAGTTGAAAAATGGGCAGAAGACATGAAGAGACACTTTGCCAAGGAGGATATTCAGGTGGTCAGCTAATACATGAAGAGATACTCACAATCATTGGCCATCAGAGAGATGCAAATCAAAACAACAATGAGATACCGTCTCACCCCAGCACTGATGGCAAGGTTCAACAAGACAGAAAATAACAAATACTGGTGGGGATGTGGAGAGATTGGGACTCTCATACACTGCTGGTGGGACTGTGAAGTGATACAACCACTGTGGAAAGCAATATGGCGATTCCTTAGAAAGTTGGATTGGAGATACCATTTGACCCAGCAATCCCATTACTAGATATATATTCTAGAGACGTGAGAGCCAGGACAGGAACAGATATATGCACACCCACGTTCACTGTAGCACTATTTATAATAGCAAAAAGATGGAAACAACCTATGTGCCCATCAATGGAAGAGTGGATGACCAAACTACAGTATATACACACAATGGAATACCATGCAGCACTAAAGACTAATGTAGAGTCTGCAAAACACCACATAACATGGATGAACTTGGAGGACATTATGCTGAGTGAAATAAGTCAATCACAGAAGGACAAATATAGTATTAGTTCATTGTTGTGGAGGGTCAAGGAAAGGTTTATATATGGAGGGAAACTTTCTTAGTTGCTAGGGGTGGGAGGGTGGGGAAGGAACACTGCAAAAAAAAATTGACTCATGTCACTTTAGTTTTGTGTATTTCACTGCATATAAATTATATTTCAATAAAACACATTAAAATACACACACACACACACACATGGTCAGAAGTTCCTAACATACTTGAGCTTACCCTCAAATGCACAGCCATGGAGAACCGAATTTAACCAGAACAGAAAGGAAAAGCAGTATTATGTCATAGACCTCTGGCTAAATTCTCACTAGGCCTGATTTTTTTCCTTGCTGTTCTACATTCTGATGTGCTTTCTCCTTTGGCTAAAAATATCACCAACACACAAGAACCCATGAACACTGGAGTTCAAATATATGTAAATCATTCCACTGGTCACCAGAGACTAATGATCCTGATCCTGGTGAGAGCAAAGCTATGGCTACAATATTAATAGGAGCCCAGCTAATATTTATTGAGCTCTTAATGTGTGCCAGGCACTGGCAAAGTACTCTAAGTTTATCTAATTTAGTTAACAAGTAAGTGGATGAGTAGGAGCTCTGGTAGCATAGTGCCTAAGGGGTTTGACTGCTAACCAGAAGACTGGAGGTTCAAACCCACCAGCCACTCCTCTGAAGGAAGGTTGGGCAATCTACTTCCGTAGAGATACTGCCTCGGAAACCCAAGGAGGGGTCGCTATGAGTTGGGGCCGACTCGATGGCAGTAAGTTTGGTTTGATTTTGGTTTAAGTGGATGAGGAGGGGTCTTCACTCACCTGAGTAAATGTGATAGGTTTGTCTCTAGAGATATAATCTGCATATTTACAAGTAAACATTCCACAATCACTCCCATTCAGCTGTTGAGGAATCTCCTAAAATTGAAAAATAAAAGAAGGAAGGAAGAGGTGAAAAGGCACATACAAATCTCTTTGACTCCTAAGTATCACGGTGAATAGACAATACTATAAAGGTGAATGGTATTACACAAACATGCAGACACAACACAGGTTAGTCTTACTCAATGTGGTATGAAAAACTGAACCATGGATTATGTGGTATCACAGAAAATGTTCTTCAGAAGAAAAGAGAAAAGCAAAGTGACACTTCCATCTTTCATCTCTAATAGAAAGAAATCAAATTGAAAGGTTTATTACCAGGAACAGAAATATTAGAACTTTTTCAGACACCTTTATAAATTTTGAAAATGGCTAAGGGTGGCTCAAGAAGAAATATACTTAAAATATATCCAATCTACTTCAATTCTGCAGAGTTTAATTTCTCTTCCCTAGCCAGGGGATCTCTTTGGACACCCACATTTTCAAGTAGGAAAAAGAAAGAAACCTCCTGATAAGCTTTAGCCAATTACGATCCCACCTTGATTGCTCAGGTCTATCTAAAACACAACGTGGTGCAAACAGCTCTCGCAGCACAATAAGCCAAAGGCTGCGGATTCCAACCCCCACACAAGGTAAGCTCACATGCTCCCCAGTCCTGTGTGTGTTGCACTCATTTTGGGCAGCCCGTGCCACACTTTGGCTGTCGGTCACAAGAGCAAAACATAAAAAGTATGGGAGAAACTGAAAACATTCCAGATAAAAATAGCTCAATTTTTATTCAAAGAAATACAGATGATTATTGTGAAAGTGAACATACATGCCACCCGTTTCTGTGGCAGGCACTTCACACTTCTCTCTATCAGAAACATTAGCAGAGCCCAGCAGTCCTCACATAGTAGACGGGGCTACAGAGACTCCAACACACAAGGAAGAGGATTTGTTTTCTTTACTACTATGCTCCCCTTACCAAACACAATATTCATCCTACACCTGCGCTCTCTTCAGGGTATTTAAAGTATAACCTTCTAATTATTCAACTTAAGAACAAAAATGCTTTTAGATAGACAGCTGAGCCATCATACAGTTCAGGGCTAAAGCTGAATTCATGTAGCTGACTTTAAAGGAAGCTATTAGGACTGAAAGAGGAATGCATTTTCAAACTCTACAATTCACACATGGCAGGATACAAAACACACTCAAAAAAGCACATCTGGCTCTCGATGACCCACAAGCATGGAACTCTTAAGTCCTAAATGAATAAAATTCCCAGATACATTTTTTTTTTTTTTTTCAGATGTAAAGCATGGACAAAAGATTTAAAACTTTTATTAGCACCAAGAAAAGTAACTGACTTCAGTTTACAGCTTTTTGGTTTCTTTTTCCCCCTTCTTTAATTCTACCAGATAGGTGCTAGCAGACAGTTAGCATTTTTATTTAGCACACGAAGATAAAGGCTAGGAAGCAACCACTTTGGTTAAAGTACTTATTAAAGATTTAGAAGTAGGTCATTCGTAAGATGATGTATATTTTAAGAGAAGGTGTGCCTGAGGGCTGAGTGAGGGGAGGAAGGGAGCCTGAACCATGCAGGGACGCAGTAGGTAAATGAACAAAGCATTTCAACCATAGATGACTTTCACTTACGTGTGGCTTCATGCTGTAGTGGGTCCATTCTAAAAGGTTCAGGTCACTATTTCTTTTGGTCTTACTTTCATCCTGTAAATACTGACTGAAAAAACAACAAAGAAGAGACATATACATGAGTCCCTGTGGAGATGCCACACGATTCCAAAGGACTTCATGACATTTCATACACAGGCCTTTCCCCAACCTATCTCCATTAGTATTTTCTAAACGTGATGGCCTAAAATTTTAGTCTTTACATTTAACTTTGGGTTTTTTCTATTACAAACATTGTACGTGCTCGTTTCTAAAAATTAAAACGTATGAAAATAATTAAACAAGCAAAAGACTCCTGTAATAACTAGTCCAGAAGTAGTGATTCTTAAGTTTGCTGTGTAGTTCTCCACTCACCCATATACACAATAGATATTTATTTATTAAAAAAGTGAGCTCATTTTTTTTTTTTTTGAGCTTATTCTTTGTATTTCATTTTGCAACTTGCTTTTTCTCACTTAAAAATAGATAAGAAACAAGACAACTGGCCTGGACATATTTTTTTAAAAAAAATAAAGCCATTGCCATGAAATATGAAGAAAGGCAAACTGTTCTAAATTAAAGACGACCAAAAAAACATTAACAAAGTACAATGTGTTAACTCTGACTGGCTCCCAGATTAGGTGTGAAAAAGCGCTATGAAAAATACCTGGGGAACAACTGAGGAAATTGGAATATGTACTGTTTGTTACATGATGAGTTGAATCAACTCAACAGCAATGATTTTGGGTTTTTTTTTTTTGGTTGGTTGTTACATGATGTTTTAAAAATAAATCCAAACCAGTTACCATCAAGTCAATTCCAACTATGTGTGTCAGAGGAGGGTTGTGCTTTCCTGGAGTTTTTTCAATGGCAGATTTCCTAGAAGGAGATCTCCAGGCCTTCCTTCTGAGGCACCTCTGGCTGAATGTGAACCACCAACCTTTTGGTTAGTAGCTAAGACCTTAACCATTTGTACCATCCAGGACTCTTACGTGATACACTGATTGTTAATGTTCTTAAGTGTGATAAGGGCATTGCAGTTATATAGTAAAATTTCCTTATTCTTAGGAGATGTGCACTGAAGTATTATAAGTAATTAATTTTACTCAAATCTCCTATCAATTTCAACAACCTAGGCATCTCAGTTCTCATCCTAACCTGCTAAAGTAGGCCAGTGCTAAACTGGGGCACACACTCTCAATGGCAACAATACTGCTGGCAAGGGGGTGAAAATTGGTTCTTAGGGGACAGAAAAATCTTAAGATATTGCCATGGTTGATGACCCTCCATAGCTCAAACCTACTCAACACAATCTTAATTTCATAGAATTTAAATTTCTTACTCTTAATTTCTTGTTGTTGTTGTTGTTATGTGCCATCGAGTCAGCCCCGACTCATAGCAACCCCTCTTTGGGTTTCTGAGGCAGTATCACTA